ATAGCTCCATGAGGCTCATGGCTACTGTATTGAACCGTGTAGGCCTAGATGAATAATTCATCGGGAAATCAATTGTCACTGCTGCATCCCTCTCCATATTTCTTACTGCATCACCCAAAGTATCGCATCGTCTTTCCGAAAGCTATCAAAGAAGACCCTGGAGTCACCATTTTGGTAGTGTGTCTTCTACCTTCCATTGAATAGAATGGAGAATTCAAAATTTTTCATTTCTGCCTCTAATGACAAAGAGAGGAAAACCGAGAGAAGGAAGAGGTTTCACACGCATGAGAGGAGTCAGAGATGAGTGCTCAGAGTTGGACGGAAGCACTCAAGACTCTAATAATGAGGATAAAATTGATCGTAAGAGTGAAACTTCAGATGATGAGTCTTCAGATGATGCTATCCTAGTTTAATTCTCTCCAACTCAAAAGTCGATGAGAGAGCGATATATTTCTGAGGACAAAAAGAAAATACAGTATTTTCAAGCAGTTAGTTATCGAGAGGAAGGACTTCATCAGACAATATTTTGCAACAAGACCCTGGCCCATCCCATTTTGCTAAATGAATGTGGGACAGTATTTTCATCTTTTATGATGTTTATATACCAATATTTGCTATATGTAAAGTTGGTTAATGGACAGATGCTGAAGGGATGTATGTATAAAAATGTAATTGGAAGGAAAAAGATGAGGTAGAAGTTTTTAAAAAATCACTAGATAATTCAAAAAATTAAGAGTCCATTCGATCCAAAGGTTAAATGGTGATGACTATTTTTTTCCTAGTATGCTGAGGGTTAAAACTTGTTTATTGTACTAGCCAAGGTCCCAGATAACTTATATTAAAGGGTGAAATCTAGAAATAAGATAAAAATTATTGTATTTTGACTTAAATTTATAATTTTGAAGATGGTTAAAATCATAGACCCTGGAGCTCCACAGCCCTGGGCTTGACCCTCAAGGCCAATACTTAGTATATGACCTTTGGCAAGTTATTCAGCCTCTCTAAGCTCCAGTTCCCTCATCTGTAAAATAAGGATTAAAAAATTACTTCCTCTTTTATAGAGTTTTCTAGAGACTAAACTTGCATGTGAAATTCTTGGCAGAATGCTCTGCACATAGGAAACAATAGCTATCAGTTATGGAGAGTGATTTTATTTCCCTCTAGCTGTTTAGACCAATTCCCCTTATTTCTCAGATCTAGGAACTCAACACATGAGAAATGATAATTATATACTATTGGTTACCACCAGAATTGATCATTGCTGATACTTGCTGCTCACGTTCTAGGTCAAGTTAACCCAGGAAGGGAAGACATCAAACCTGAGAACTGAAGCTGCTCTGGGGGGTTCATGGAACTGCAGATGATATTGCAGAAGTATTCCCCGCCTTAGCCTTAGGTAATTAATTTTCCTGGATAAAAGCTTATTCAAATGAACATATAATGAATTAATAAAGTTCAGCCTGCTCCAATATAAAGATAGGAAAATTAAAGTGTGGATGTGTGGGAGGGGGAACAGAATTAAAGAAAAAAAATTAATAAGGCTTTTCAGCCCAACTTCAATCTTCTCTCACACCAAGACTTGTTTTCCTTTTGTCTAATTTTTAGATTGAGCAAGCACACTTTAGTGAACTCGAGTTATACAGAAAAACATAAGAAATAGGGTAAAAATCTGAAATCTCATCATCTGGAAAAAACAAAACAAAACAAAACACGATTATTCTTCCAGGTTTTCCTCCATACACAAACCCACACAGTTTTATAAGTGCACTCGCACTATGCTTGCCGTTCATGCCTGTTTTTGTACTCAAGAATAAGAACATCTCTCTATTTCATTCTAGAGATCCACATTCATTCCTAGTAGGGCTCTAATCTTAAACCCTGTACTCTGTGCACACAAAAAACGCTTGTCGAAAGTGGTTGATGAAAGAAAATATTGACATCTGTTTTTAAAGAATAACTTAGCTCAAAAACTGCGGTGAGCCATGAGGTTAAAGGGGATTTTAAAAACAAGTGAAAATCAGAGGCATTTGGTTCTTTTTTACGAAAACACTGGAGAGAATGAAGACCTGGGCTCTGACTGTGCTGTGTGGCACACACCCCATTCCCCCAGAGGCTCTTACTTGTGGAATGTGAAACTTGTGGAACTGAACTTTTAATAAAATGAGAACTTGCTTGTAAACCTCAGTATATTTTCAGGGTTTAAAACTCTTTATCTAGATTACAGTTCTTTTGGTCTTGGCATCAAAAAGGTTATTTCTGAGTGCTCAACAAAGAGGAAAACCGTGAGTCTGGACTCAGTCTTGCTTTCCCCTGCCAGGCGGGGGGTTCACTCCCGAGGCCACACGTGTGTGAGTCCTTATCCTCTGCATGCCACCGTATTCCTGGATACGCCAGTGGTCTCTAGACCTAAAGAACCAAGGTCCCACCTCAGAGGATACTCACAAGGGACCTTTATCTGGAAGCCTGACCTCATCATTTCTGGGATTCTTTTCCACCCCGACAGAAGTAAGAAGCATGGATAATAAGATGTTATACCAATATTATTTTAACCCATTTTTATATTCTTCTTATTTTGGCTACTGCTTAGAAAGTCAAGTGTGTTTTTGCTCCTCCACTCCCAGATAATGAAAATACAGTTATAGTGAAAGAATCGGTATTATATAAACTTCTGCTTGTTCGAAGTGACTGAATTCACAATTTTCAAACTTGGAACAGAGTTTATAAAACTAGACTGACTCCGAAAGTGGTCTAAAATGATCCGATAATGGCCTGATCTTTTTTGTGTATCAGAGGGAGCCGTAGCTGGAGGTAGGAGAGGAAGGAGGCGGGAAGACCAGACTGCAGGAGTGGAAGGATGCGCTGCCAGAGACAGACCTACAGGAGCACGGGGAGCGAGCCCAACAAACACGGAATCCAGGTCAGACCGAGGATACTAGGAAACAGGCAGGCAGCATGGCCAACCCAACAAGAGCAGGGTGGCTCCATGCTGTGCACCAAGGATTGAGTTCAAGAAGGAAAGTTTTAGATAAAGTGGGCCTGGGTCTTCTGACCAGGTGAAACCTTATTTATCGGACCTGGAACCTGACATGTCATTGAGGGGTGCAGCTGGTGGATCTCACAGATGGAGCCACCTAACCCCTCTCCCTGCAGAATGGGGGGCTGAGGGGATGGCTCGCTTGGCCCCACTCGGGGGAGAAGTCCAGTTAGTGGCAGTGGAGGACCCAGCGGGCCATCTGCACCATTCTTCTTCCCCACCCACGCTCACGTTCCCTCCTAGGCAGGTCATCGACCAAAGGAAATATGTTTTCACTAAAAAAAAAGTTACGATGGGAGATATATTAATAAATTATCTTTATATAATAAGCTACATTACTCTCTCTAGGCTATTAGCAGTAAAAAAACAAACGACACAGAAAATGTCCAGATGTCCAGGGAAATGGTTTTCTCTATATGAGTGGCCTTTAGAGCTGTGGTTCTCAAGCGTGGTTCCCAGACCAGTAGCACTAACATCACTTGGGAGCTTGTTAGAAATGCAAATTCTCAGGTCCCACCACAGACCTACAGAATCAGAAACTCAGCCCGGCAATCTGTGTTAACACAGGCCTCCGGGAAACGATGGCGTGAGCTAAAGTTTGAGAACATTGGCCTAGTGGAAAGAACCTGGGATGGGAGCTAGGACACCTAATTCAGATTTCAGCTCCGGACTGCACAGTCCAACTCAGGGGAACTGAATGAATAGCCGTGTGCTATTGCAAGGATGTGAGGATACCGAGATAAGCTAGGGGTGGTTCTTATCTTCAGATGGTGTCAAATCCTCTGCATTCTTTTCCCTTCAGGGTAGGGGCCACTTTGTTGTTGTTGTTCTTGTTTCGTCTCATATTTGTATTCCTAGTGCCGGCTCATATTTGTATTCCACGGGACCAAGTGGCAGGGCCATCCACGACTGTACTAAGTGCTACTGTACCACCCACCACTGATCTCAATGTTAATCCAGTCTGCTTAACACTGCTACCATTTATTTCATGCAGATGCTGAGTGCTTGTCATATATCAGCTCATTCAATCCTTACAGATGTCCTGTAGTGTGGGTAGCATTTTTAATCCCCTTTTGCACATTAAAACACTAAAGCTTGAAATAGTAAGTAATTCGTCCAATGCCATACACCGAAAGTGGCAGAGCCATTGATGGACCCAGAATTACCTGATTCCAAAACTCGTGATCTTAAATGGGACAGATTCTTTAAATCTCAAACTCAAAAGCCGACTTTAGAGTAAATTCCCAGCCTCTAAGGTTAGTGGCTGATTGTCTACTCACTATGTACTTAGAATGGTACTTGGTAGGCATCACCTTAAGTGGTCAAAGACCAACTTTTTCTCATTTTTTGGTAGATTGACATTTGGTTTTCTTTGAGCTCAAGAAAGTAGATAGTGGTAGGCGAACTATACTAATACTTCACTGGACTGTTCTGACCCTGAAAAGTTAGGCCAAATCTGCATAGAAAAAATGAAAGCGGGCTCACAGGCCAGGCCAGGGCAGCCTTGACAGGGCTGGCAGAGAAGGCTGGTTCGAAGGGGCTGAACCTTGGGTGGAGTGTCCCAATGAAGACAGGACAAAGAGAAGAGGGCAGAGGTGAGTCTAGCCCCAAGGCTCCAAGGCCTGGGAGGCCAGGCTGTGGGCATCACATCAGGGGCCAGCAAGGGTGCCGTGGCAGATGAGGCAGCAAACAGGAGAAGCGGCCAAAGGCCTGAAGTCAGGTGAAGGCTCCAGGGCCTGTGACAGCTACAGCTACTGATGAAATAATGACTCTTCTCCCTCAGCATTGTGGCTATCTTCATATGCTGCCTTTTCCTCCTCACTATAAGTCGAAGATGAATGTGACATCTGCCACCCACTATTCTCTCGTGAACAATTTAGGGCCAGGAGGGATCTAGCTGGGGTTGTTGCAAGCTGTAGGTACTGAGAAAAAGAAAAGGGAATTTATACACAAGGGAAGGCCTTACCTTACTGGGAGGTGGCCCATGGTCATCCAAGTAAGTAGAATTTCCTAGGGTGCAAAAAAAGAAGGAAAGAATTGATGAATCAGTAGTTTTAAACCCAAATGAATTGAGTACGAAGTCATTAAAAATAAGCATTCTGGATATATTTTCATTGACACAACTGTAGCAAAGAAAAATGGGTAATGAAACATCAGTTTGGAGGGGTTTTGTTGGTATGATCATGCTTGATTAATAGTTTCAGCAGTTACAAACATTCTGCACACACAGGTGTGTGTGCACACAGACGTATACACACACAACCCGCACCCAACATCTGCTGAGTATGCCTTAGACCAGCAGTTCTCAGACTCTAGTGTGCACCAGAATTATCTGGAGAGCTTGCTAAAACACAGACCGCCCGGCCTGCTCCCAGAGCTCTTGATTTCGTAGCTCTGAGAATCTGCGTTTCTAACAAGCCCCCACGTGACGCTGATGTGGCAGGTCCTGGAACCACACACTGTGAGAACCACTGCATCGTTTCTTCACTTTGTCTGAATTGTTCACTTCCCCTCACCCTTTCAGTCTAGCTTGCTTCCGAAGCTCGATTTGTCTATCCTATAATATACACTTCTTGGCTTGTGTGTTTTCAGAGTGAATCGTTATTATTTCCTGATGAATAAAGACTCAGAGGGGTTTGGGAAGGAACTGAAGGTTATTGAGTTCCTTTTATGTAGCAAGTACTCTGCTAAGTGCTTGACAGGTATGCCTTCATTTAATTTAAATATTAGGAGTGGGTTATAATTATCTGCACGCATGGAGGAGAGAACAGAGGGCTGGAGAAAGCCAGCAGTTTGCTCATGGTCACACAGCTGTTGAACTGTGGAGAGGAGAGACTGTTTTTTTCCAGAGGATGCTCGGGCATCGGCTCATCTGAAAAGCGTCCGAGGGTGTTGCCATCTCCAGCAACCTAGACACCGCCAGTGTGCACCTGGCAACATGTTTGATCACGTGGGGGAGCAATGATGTGGTTAGTGTAATTGGAGGCTCTTCTCCAAGGGGGTAACACGTGTCAGTCCAGGAGAAATCATCTTCACGAAAAGTAGAGATGAACAGATTTTCTAACAGAACAAACGATGGAAAATATGGGAAATGCAAGGATACTTAGAACAGTAGCTTAGGGAATAAGGTAATGTCCTCATTGGAGTAGACAAATGGTGATTTTTCAGGAAAGAGCAAAAGTGACTTAAGAAATTGGAATAAAAAGAGGAAGCATAGCTTAAGCCAGGGACAGTTGAAGTGAGGAATCTCATCCAAACATAACAAATAAGTGGGTTTGGCTTCTAGGCTGTTTTCCGTACTGAGGCATCAGTCATCCCTTTTTCTTGGTAGGCTTCTGATTTACCACTCACTTGATGTCAACAACGACTGTACTCTAATCGGCTAGTTGTACATGGGAAACAGACAACAGGGTCTGATTTTCATGTACGAGACACTCAAACGCAAATGCCTGACATGCTCGTGATAGCGTTGTTTTCAGGAACCTTTGAAATGTGAATAGGAATATCAATTTGTTACATCTTAATGATACCGCTGCACTCCACTGGGAATGTACATAAATAGGAAGTGAGATCTATATTGGGCTTAATAAAGAGGAGGTACGTAAAAGAATTCAGAAAAATGGTCTAAGAAATATTGAGAATTATTCCTCCATAACGCAGTGGGTCGAGCTACAGAGGATTCCTGTCTGCTCATCGTGTGAGTGTGTCTCTCCGAGGAGGGATGTGAGAAATTCCAACACACTCTGGCATGTTCTCCAGGTGTCAATCTCAGGGATCAAAGAGTGCTCAAAAACTAGATGTTTCTATAATACTAAAAGTTTCCGTAAGAACCAAAGTTCCTAAAAACTCCTGAAAAGGATGGAAATGTCTGACTGCTACTTTAAACTCCAGGCGCGGGTACCCACTGACTCCTTAGCACCTCATCTTGGCTGTCTACAGGCATCTCACACTTGGCCAGGCCAAACAGAACCCCTTTTTGTTCTGATTACCCGCCCCCCTCAAATGCCACTTCCCCTGTTGTACTATTAGGTTACACAATACATCCCTTCCCCTCAGGCAGCAAAGCCTGAGTCATCCTTGATTCATCTCCCTCCCTTACCCATCTCACCAACCCAGTCGCAAGCCTTTACAATATTGCTCCAATCTGACTGCTTCTCAGCAGCCCCTCTGGGTTGTCCAGGAGCGCCCTTCTGTCTGTCTTCGTTGATCACTAATTTTCTACTCTACTCATGCAGTGATCACAGGGATCTTTCAACCTCATCAGTCTAACCATGTCAGCCCTTTGCATAAAATCTATTTCTTTAAGAATGAGATAGTCGACTCTTGACCGTGATCTATAACCCTACACAAGCCGGGCCCCGCCTCCTGCCACACCTGCCACAACAGCTTCTCTCTGCTCTGGAACACACCAACCTCTTGTCAGCCAGGGACCTTTTGAACTACTTCTTTTCACTGCCAGAAAAAGCTCTTCCCACCCGCTTCACTCAGGCTCAACTCAAATGTCCTTTCTTTTTCTCTCCCTCCCTCTCTACAGAAGACTTCACTTTTCTCTCCACAAAGAAAGGAAGGGGGCTGCCCGGTGTTGACACTTGTATCACAGACCCCATTGTTATCTGCACCAGCAAACCCCCGAGCTCCCATCCACAGTTATGTGCCTGCAGTTTCTTAGAAGAGAGAGGCTCTAGATGCCTTGTGTTTAGAACAGAGGCACAGAAAGGGAAAAGAAAAGCTACCTGAATTTCTTTAGTTGAAGACAAGTTTTTATTCTCCTAGGGTATAATTGTATTATTACGCGGTATTCAGATAGAGCTTTTCATCCTAAGATCGAATGCTTTCCTAGTGCAAAGTAAACAAAACTGTCAGAATTTTCAGACCTGAAGTTGATAACTTTTTGGCTGTGGAGATCAAAGGATGAAAGCTGTTATCACAAGAGCTTTCCTGAACATCAAAGAAGCTTCCTGCTGCTCTGTCTTATAGAGGATTCTCCTGAGGGTGTCGAGTTTGGGGGAAGGAAGATAAGACCCAAGCCTTCCTCACCTTCGAGCTTGGAGCTGAAGATGTAAATCTGAGAAGGAAAGGTGGCGGAGGGCTGATGAGGGGTCTGGAGCCAGGACAGAAGTCAAGTGCTCACCTGCTACCCACCCCCACTGTCTTGTGAACATCCACTTCTGATACTCGAGTCTCGGATCCCAAGTCCCAGCGCCCCATGAGGCAGCACCTCTTATTTTGAGAGGTCTAGAGAGGCGCATCATTTCATTTCTTTCCAGAAAGTAACCCACACCTTTAGAACTGACTCTAGCCTCCTTTTCTTGTCTCAAGTCCTTCCCTCGAGAAGATTGCAGCATCTTGTCAAGCCAGAAAAAAGGGAAGCGTACCTCCACATGTTTCTCCCGCCATCAGTCAAACTTTCAGGAGAGCCTGTCTCCAAACTGCTGTGTCGCCAGCTCAGGCTGGCATCGAGCTAAACCTCTCGCAGGAGTCAAGCTTGTTCAGGCTGCTCAGATAGGCAGAGGAGACGGGTGGCCACCGATTTTGAGCAATGCTCCAGCCCTTCTAATGCTATATGGCTGGTCCCTATCCTGATGATGGTGGTGGTTACATGGCTCTGTACATAAGTTAAACTGTATAGAGCTATACACCAAACGCACCAACCACAAAACACCCACGCTTTAATGGTTTTGAAGATGCCCTGACTGGAAGGCAAATGATCTCAGACTTTGCAATCCGCTAAATTAAAGTACATTCTCAACCTCACTCTGTCCACCCAGCCCTTCGTGATGGAGACCTCCCAGGGAGGCTGTGAGTAGAACGTGAGAGATCATGTGTGAATGTGCACAGGTGTTGAGTCCAAGCACACGGGAGGCAGTTTGTGCACTTCCTAGAGGGTATGTGTTATATGTATTATCAGAGCTTTTGCCAAACAGTGCATTATCAACGTCCACCTACTTTAGCCGTCATATAAACTATGTGCTGCAAAGATGCATTTCAGGAAACTCATCTGAAATCTGATGCTAGGAATGAGGAGGTCAGGATTTGTGACCCAGAATCTGAACATTCCTGACTGATTACTACGTTATACCTGTGTCTCAGGTGGCAGAACCAAGGCATGCTAACCACACAAAAAAAGTCTTCTGTAACAAGAGCAATAAGAAACCAGATGTACTATCCACCTTTTATAATACAGAATATCCCCACGAAGTATCGATCGCTCTGAATAAACTGCTTTACCTCCTCAAAGTGTCCCATATACCCATCTGTAAAAATGAAATAAACTCACAGGTTATTGTAAGGAGTTCAGGAGGATAATTTCATTCCACGCAAAATACTCAGAACCATACCTGCACATAATGAGCACCTAGCAAGTTCACGAGCAGTACTTACTACTTGTACTGCGAGTAGTATCAGGAGCAGTGTCTCCTTCCTGGCTCCCCACCCAACGGCACATCCCACTGCCTGCAATAATTTTAAGAAAGGCTGATGCAGGATTCAGGGCCTCACCGTAGCTATCTTGATGTATTTATTCTGGGACAAGTCATGTGACATTTGGTATTTTCTAAAAGTTCTTCGGGTAATTCTAACGTCTAGCCAGGGTTGAGAATCACTAAGGTACAAAACACAAATTAATGTACTTCATAATTCAGGCCAAATCTCATTTTCTTGAAGTAAATTGGAGCAGATCTCATTCAAGCTGATCCTAATCATGGGTCACCTCCGTCGTTTTGGCTGAGAGACTGCAGAAGTTTCACGTCACAGGAGAAGCTGAAGGAGCGCTGATGATCACAGGACTTCTAACCACAGAGGAGGCCGGCCAGGCCGTTCTGGTTAGCACCTGCTCCAGGGGATCTAACAAAATGAAAAGGGCCAAGGCTGGCTCACAGGCTGCCTGAGAGCGGGCTGGCACAGGCACCTCTGGGCAGAGAGCTCACCCTTCACACCACCTGGACTGCCCGAACCTTTCTGGAACTCCACAAATCTTCTCAAAAGTAATTTCCAGAGGTTACAGTTTCAGA